GAGCCAGACTTTCATTTGAAAAGTTTCTGTTCATGTCTTTTGTCCATGTTTTACTTGTATTGTGTGATGTTTTCTTGCTTATTTGTATGAGGTCTTTGTAGATTGTAGTTATCAACCATTTAGTAGATGAATGGCATGCAAATATTTTCTCCCATTTTGTATGTAGGTCGTCTGATTATTAATTGTTTCTTTAGCAGCACCAGAAGCTTTTAATTTCTTTCCCATTTTTGTTTTTGTTTTTGTTTTTGTTTTTATTTGAGACAGAGTCTCACTATGCCACCCTCAGTAGCAACCTCAAACTCTTGGGCTCAAGTGATTCTCTTGCCTCAGCTTCCCATGTAGCTGGAACTTGCCCCAACACCCAGCTATTTTCTGTCACAGTTGTCATTGTTGGTTAGCTGGCCTGAGCTGGGTTCAAACCTGCCAACTTTGGTGCATGTAGCTGGCACCATAACCAGTGTGCTACGGGCTCCAAGCCTAAAGCTTTTAATTTCATCAGGTGTCATTTGTTTATTTTTGTGGTTGCTGTGCTTGTTTAGGGTTCTTCTTCATAACTTCTTTCCCTTGGCTGACATCTGGTTTATTTTTTTAATTGAGAATTGACCCTCTGCCTGCTGGTGCTCATGCTGAAGACTTCTTATTCCCTCTTAGGATTTTTATGAGTCTCTAGCTCTTATCTGAAGGCCTCTATCTAATGTTTTCTCTTTTATCTTCATGCAATTTTATTGTCTTTGTCATCATCTTAGCAATAACATAACTTGTCATCTTTTTCCTCTGATCTTTAGCTGTTAATATTACCCAAATAATGACTGATGAACTAACAGACTGGTGTTAAGAGACAAAGACTGGTGTGCTCATGAAGTCATAGGAAGAGCCAGACTGTTGTTTAGGACTGATCCCAGTGTCTCTCCCAGACTATCCCATTAGCCAGGTTTCAGGATCCCTCTGTGTTGTCAGACCCATCCAGGACTTCTGTGAAGCAGATTTTCTGATTAGAGTCCTGGTTTATCTGGATGACCTTGGACACATTTCATGACCACTTTCTCCTTCAATGTCTTCAGTTGCAAGATGAGAATAAAACATGATTTTATATATCAAATCTTAATTCACGACATCCAATAACCATTCATTTAAATTGCACCCATTCTTTGCTTTGTTGTTGTTAAGTGTATAATTCGAGACATTTATGATAAATTAGAAAAACATTGCCACATGTTCTCCCCATACAGAGGAGAGTCTGTTTCTCCATCTATTGAATCTAGGCTGGTCCCTGGACTTGCTTTGAGCTGTAGAATGAGGACAAAGCAACACTGTGCCTAAGAGTTCAGTCCTAAGAGGCCCAGCAGCTTCTACCCTCTGCTCTTGAAAGGTAAAACACTGATCTAGCCCATGGGAAGAAAAGAGGTCATGTATAAGAGCCACCAGCCAGCACCAAGCACAGATGTGAGTAAAGCTATCCAGGGACATAATAAGGGGTTGGTAGTGGGCAGTGGGCATGGTCATGTCTGCGTGAAGAGGATTTTATCTCTGATGTTTTTCATATTGGTCAGTGTGTATCAATAACAAAAAACAGTTTTATTATTACTATAAACATGTCTACAGACAATTTTCTCTTAAGTGCCTGAGCCTGAGATGGACTGATCCTACCTCCTTTCCCACTGGCAGGTCACTGAGAGGAAAACTTGGCTGACAGCCAGTCCCACCTTGCAGGCAGATGGGTGACACCAACAGTAACCATCTAGCCTACTGGCCCAGCTGAATGCCACTGCATCAGTTTGCCCAGACAACTCCTAGAATCATTCTAAACAATACATCATGGTGTCAAAACCTTAAGTTATGGGGTGCTCTTTTACACTTCAATAGAGAATGAGAACATGTACAGCATCTCTGTAAACCACGACTTGACTCCAATCTCCTTTCCCATATTACTCTATGTGGGTGTGGTTTAATGTGAGGAATGAACTCTACAACCTTCCCTTGCTTCTGCAGGTCAGAAAACAGACACTCAGAGAACCTGAATATGCACCATGTGGACCCTTCACTCCTCTCAGCTTGTAGATCCTGCAGAAAGTAGTTACATTTATCCAGGGCATGGTCTTCAGCCCACAAAGAGGATTTTTGTTTGGGGAACTGTCACTTTGGGAGGCCAGTTGAAGTGCTACTGGCAGTAAAACACCCTGACATCTTTAGTTTCCATCCCAATGATGACGAGGGAAAAGTCAAAGCCAGAGCCATGTCCCCAGACCCTGGAAGAGGTTCCAGCAGCCCTGGCAGAAGCCCCTGGGGTCGCCATTGGTACCAGCCCATGGTGGTACCCTCCACAATGCTACTTGTGCAGGTGATAGTGACAAAGTCACTGGGAAATGCTGCCAGAGTCTCTGAAGACT